AAAATTTTATTTTTTAAAATTTTTTTATTATTACTTAAGAATGATTTTTTAACGCTATAATCTTCTAGGGAAAAATAAACCTTCAAGAGAAGATGCAATATGGTGAGCACATGTGACCGACACTACGGACACAGTGCATTTGGTGCCACCATCATTATTTTTTCTTTTTTCTTTTTTGGAGAAAATTAGTGGAATCATTTTGTGTACAAAGAAAATGGAACGAGAACCATAGAAATGATAGCAGAAGCTTGAGAGGCTGTTCTTCATTGAATAATTCCGTCAATTTTTGTGGTTGATTTAGGTTCTATTTTCTACATTACCAAGACTAGAAGCAGTGAAATGTTAGAACTTTTGGGCTTATGAGGTTCCATTTCTGCTACATTCGGAGTTCCCTTCCTTTTCTCCATTTTTTTAATCCACCGAAAGCAGCTATAATGATGACAAACTTTAATCATTTTACTACTTTTTTGAATTCGATTTTAAGAAAAGACGCGATGTGCAGAGCACATGTGATGATGCTTCAGACAAAGTGAGTTCAGTGCAATCAACTTTTTTTATTTTTAACAGGAGGAATTCCCAGGGACTGTAAAAGTAAGGCCTGAAAATAAAATTTAGATCATTATATATATATATATTTTTACCAGGTAAATGGTTAGAAAGTTAGTAGAGTTAATTTTGTTAGCAGTTGAAATTTTTTCAGGAAAGTGAAACTTTCACCCCTCATTTGAGGCGCGCCACCAATAGGTCGCAAATTGGTGGAGTTCATGACGGTGGCAAAACTCGAAACTCTGACCTCCGCCTCACCCAAACCCTAAAGTTTGAGAGCCAACCAATTGGGCCACAGGCCCGGTTGACATTTAGATCATTATATTTAATCACATTTATAAAGAGTGGTAGTTAGGTCATCAAAAACTGGACGAATTCAGTGCAATCATTTTGTTACAAGAAAATGAAGAAGGAGCCATGGATATGATGTGTAGAGCTTGAGAGGCTCTTCTACATTGAATAATTCCACTCATTTTTGTCGTTGATTTATGTCTTATTTTCTACATTACCAAGACTAGAAGCAGTGAAATGTTAGAACTTTTGGGCTTTTGAGGTTCCATTTCTTCTACATTCGGAGTTCCCTTCCTTTTCTCCATT